CTGATGTGCTCTGACATTGGAAGGTGGAACGTGTTGTTTGAGCTGGCGGAGCCAGCGAATGGATGAACGAGTGAAAAAAGAGGCGGCCGTGGCCGATCTGATTGCCCAGGCATCCGACTGGTGTGCCCGGCGCAAGGCCAGCTTGGTCCGCTTCTCCTCCGGCTTGAGGGCCTCCAGAGCGTCATTCAGGGTAGAGGAAGAGGCGAGGCCCACTATGGGCTCATCAACCTCTGGGGTAACCAGTAATTGAGAAAATTCTGGGTCCAAATTGAAGAATTTTTTATCGTGGCCCGAAGGGGCAGGGGGCGCTGCCGCAGAGGCCAACTGTTTAACCACCAGAGCAGAAAAAATGGGAGGAGTTGGGATGACTTCGGCCTTCACCATGGGTTGTTTAAAGACGGAGTCCTCTGGGCCCTCTGAGGTGAGGGGAGTGGAGTCAGAGGGTGGCTGCGTATTTAGGCCCGAAATATTCTTGGCCTTGAATAGAAGGGACTTGAATAATTGTGGTTTAAATAGTCCCACAAAGGCGGGTTGATCTGGAGTGAGACCCTCGTCCTCGGACATTTTCCCTTCCAATGGGTCCACCTCCGAAAGAGGTTCACTGTATTGCATGGACCCCAAGTCAAACTCCTCCTCTTCCCTGATTAGATCTAGGTCCCCTTCCTCCTCCTCCTCCTCCTCCTCCTCCTCCTCCCTTACTGCAGGGGGAACCTTCCCCTGCAGGAGTACCTGTCCATGGATCGGCTCCGATCTTGGTATGGATCTTACGGAATGAGACTCGTGTTCCGAGGCTGCCATGTAGTGCCCAGGCCTGGCTATTTGCTGGAGTCCCGCCGCGATGCCTTGGCGGATAGCCAACTCCATCCAGGATCGTAATTTCTCTGGGACTTCGTCTATGAGTGATTCCTCCTGGTGTAGGCCAGCTGCAGTAGGCGTGAAGGTGGCTTCAGGAGCCCTTCTAGCCGGAGTTTCAGGAATCAGCGCCTGATGACCATGAGAGGGCGAGCTGCGCCTGGATGTAGAAGGAAAATCTGGAGGGGGGGAGCAGAGGTAGAGGGAGTGGAGGGTGGTAGAACTGGAGCAGGGGCCTCTTTAGAGCGCCTGGTAATCTCCTTCTCCAGGGCCCTATGGCGCCTGAGGGCATCCCTCTGGGAGGCTTTGGAGGTCTCCTTAGCCTCTCTGTGCAAGTGATGGGTCTTAGATTTAGCCTTCAGAGAAGGTCCTCTGGAGGTGTTACCCTCTGCCATTTCTATGAGAAATATGAGTACTGCAGAATATAATATGAGTCGGATTGAAGGTGGTTGGCGCGCCCAGGGGCCAATCTGTAGCAAGACTGGGAGCCCTGATAATTATCTCACTTTTCCCCGTTCGTATTTTGATTATTTATATATTTTTTATTTTTTATTTTAAATTTAACCAAGACCGAAAAAGAAAGAAATTCCAATCAGCCGAAATGAGAACGCCTGAGGCCCAGTGAAGTAAAGGAAAAGCTAGGGCCAGGAGCAACCTTCCTTCCCAGGCAACACTGGGTTTGGGTTGCTGCTGCTACTACGCAGTGAAAAATAAGCCGTGGGAAAAGCCAACTATTAATCTAGAATTAAAAACAAACCTCAATTTTCAAATGGCTAGGGGTGAGGTTAAATCGCTCTGAAGCAGGCCTACGGGTCCTGCAACGACGAGCGGAGATTCCACACAGCAAGGAAATTTACAAACAAAATGGCGGCTGCAACGATGCGAAGGCTTGCAGGCAACTCAGCGGCAATTTTTTCTGCCAAGGAATGAGCCTGAGCTCTTAAATAAAGAGAGAGAGGCAGGGAAGGGGGGGATTAGCCCTTCCTAGCTATAAACGGCGTTCTGCAGGGGGAGATTAAATCGAACGAATCAATCCGAACTGAAATAAAGCTGCAGACTGCGAAAGGGAACGAAGCGGCACAACGAGGAAGGCGGGGGGGGGGGGTAGTGCGAAAGCACTACTAGCTTTCCCCCTTGCCACGCCTGGGGGCACAAAAGGAGCGCTTCCCTGGGTGGATATAAAACGAACTGACCACTTGCGCAGGGCTAATTGAAAGAGAAGCAAGTACAACCTGAAAGTTCAGAAGAAAAAACGATTGAAGACAACGAACTCTTGAATTGGCCAAGGAGCTATTCTATGCACTGCCTGTCTTGCACGAGGCTGAGCAAGAACTGGGGAATGCTGTGGAGGAGACACGTGGTGGAGGAGGAGCGTTCCTCAAAATCAAGCTCAGCCTATGAATGCAGAGACTGAAGCACCACCCACTACTGGATGCTCCGAGCAGCTCTGAGGAGACTTAGCAAGCTCTCCCCTCCTTTAATTGTTCAGGTAGTTAAAATGGTGGTGGAAAGTTGGACTTTCAAATTTGCAAAATTCTGCTAATGTAGCCTTATAAGAAGGTAGAATTAGCTCACCTAGTTGCATTTTTCTGCCTGGTTACCTAAAAGGGCAAACTCTACTGTAGTTAACATGCTGCTTAAAATACAGTCAGGGATGATTTGATCAGTAGAAAAATATAGTTAATTTAAACTATACAGGCTGCACGCTCACTATAAGTGACATTGTATGTCAATTTGAATATTAATTTATAACATTTTAAATACTGCCCTGTCCAAAGTGTGATGGAATTCAAGCTTCTCATTTACCCTTGGAACTCCTGCCAGAAGTTCTTCAGCATCCCCCCACCCCACCTGCTCCAGGAGTCTTTCCCAGCTGCATAGAGCAGACTTGGTGGGTCAAGACCAGGGGCCTCCAAACTTGCCAACTTTAAGACTTCAGCTCCCAGAATTCCTCAGCCAGCTGTTCAAGACAGACAGTCCAGCTCAGAGGCAAGCCCAGTATTGTTGAAGTCCAATATGACGAAACAAATTTCCACAGTGATCATTTTAACACTGATTTCAAGTTTGGGAAATATAAATACCCACGTAAAGTGTGCGGATGTGATTGTAGCAACTTGTTTGGAGAATAGTAAAATGGTGTTAGAAGTAATCCCTGAGCCAATTATTCAAAAAGAACAGACAATGTGGTATAGCAGGAGTACTTTAATTCAATTAATGTCATCTGCATTATTATTTTAAGAACAATTCCTCTGCAGTTAATATAATGAAAACAAATTTATGAAAGAACTGAGCAAGTAGTTTGGTGAATATTATTAAATACTGCTTAGTTCCATTCCACAACAATGGGCCAATATTGTTTCCATTTATATCAATATTGAACTATTAGTTTAAATTCCTGATGCTTTTACCAAAACCAAGTTGAAATACTGAGACATCTTTTCATTCATTTCATTGGCATTAAACAAGAATCTGTTTGTTTTAAAAAAAAGTACAGAAAATACAAGAAATGCTATTTCCTATTGTGTAATGTCTGTTAATTTTAGGAATTTGATATCCATGGAATTATGGATGAAAAGGTTTCAAACATGCTGCTTCTACAAAAATGGAATATGTTTAAGTCCCAAACCAGCTTTTCCAAAATGACCTTGCAGGCAAAGTATATATTTTCTATCTGTTTTTGTGCTCTTTTCTTTTGATCTTGTTTGCTAATTGCCAAATCCTTTAATTCTAAGCTTCAAGTTAGCATTTCTCTCTCTGCAGGTTTAGAATGAATCTACTAAAAGAGAAATAGTTGAAGCTTGCACAAAGATGGTAAGTTACCTTTAATAAACGAGTAGCTATTTTACGTATCACTGCTTATAGAGGCAAATCATGGGTATAATATTGGCTAACGTCTGACTTTTATCAAGCAACTCTTTGATAGATCAGAAAATAGAAGCTTTTGTGAATATTTTCTTGCAGTGCTAGGACAGCAACCGGCAGTAAGAAGATTTGCTGAGTATTCATTAAGTTTATGAGAAAGCATATTGTACATTTTTTAAACTTACCTGTATAATTAAGCATCTGAAACAAGTATTTTACAGGAGTAAAACTGTGCTTGAAAACAACTGTAGTATTTCTCCCATTAGAAGAACTATTGTGTAAATATAGCAAGGTTTTATTTCATGGTTTCACACAGAATTGTCTTCATGAGACACAACTTTCCACTCTAAGTTTAAGAGAGCGTTCAGCAATGCTATGTACGAGTATATAACCTCATAACCAATTTTCAAAACCATTATTTTGCTTTTAGACAAGTATTATTTAGTAGTATAGTGCTTTTATGATATTATTAAACTTTACCAATTAAGAAAATACATTTTCTAAACCACTCCTGCTTTATAGATAGGCAAGGTTGATTTTGGTAACTGGCTCCTAGTCATCTCCTGGGTCTCCTCAATAAACATTTGTTTTAATTGCTTCCTGGATAAAGAGCTTCTAAGGCTAACTAGTATTAGATATTTTGTTTTAACAGAACTGAAAGAGGCAAATCAGATTTTAAAAAATATATAGTCCCCAAGTACCGTATTTTTCGGAGTATTAGATGCAATATTTCCACCCTCAAAGTGGATGGAAATGTCGGTGTGTCTTATACAGTGAATGTTGTCGAAGCCCCACCCACTCACCGGCCCCCCATCCTTCGGCCTCTGCCTCCCAGCAATTTGCCTCTTTGCAGCAAATAGCAAACAGCCTGGTCAGCTTCAGCACAGCCTGATTAGCACAAACAGCTGATTATCAGTAGGATTGGCCTCCCAACGATCAGCTGTTTCAGGCTGCAAGGATTGCCATCGCCTATTGCCACCTCCCCATGCCCCATTTTTGGCTTCCCCGCCCAGTTTTTGGCCTCCGCACCTCCCATTTTTGCTGCCCAGAATGGGCCAAAGTAGGGCATGTGGAGGCTGAAAACGGGATGCGGAGACTGAAAATGGAGCAAGCGGAGGTGGCAACAGGCGATGGCTATCCCTACAGCGTGAAACAGCTGATCATCAGGAGGCTGATTCACCGACAATCAGCTGCTTGTGCTAATCAGGCTGTGCTGAAACTGACCAGGCTGTTTGATGTAAGGAGGCAAATTGCTGGCAGGCAGAGGCAGATTTTTTCTCTTTCCCCCCCCCCCCCCCCAAAGCTAGGTGTGTCTTATACTTTGGAGTGTCTTATATTCTGAAAAATACGGTAATTGAATTATTACTTAACAAAGTGTTTGACTTACATTAATATAAAGCACTTTGAAAGCATTCTTTCAAATCACAACAGAGATAGTGATATAAACCATGGATCTTAACATGGATATGACAGTCATTTCTAAAATTCTTCTCACCCTGATGCTTTCATCCCTTATTCCAGGGGTCTCCAAACTTTGCAATTTTAAGACTTGTGGATTCCAACTCCAAGAGTTCCCCAGCCAGCAGGAGAATTCTGAAACTTGAAGTCCACAAGTCTTAAAGTTGCCAAGTTTGGAGATCTCTGTTTTATTCTGTTACCTGCCCATGACCTCTTCTCATTACAGGAGAAATACCTGGAATGCCAATGTTCAGAGTTGGGATCACCAAAATAATACATTGGATATTATAGTCTCTTGATCTCAGCCGTCGCCCTACAAATATCCAAAACCCCACCTGAGATGAATCTATAGTATTCAATAATACAATGATGTTATTATTGTACTATTACTATGTTTAGCCTCTAATAACATTGGAGGATTTTTTTTTACAAAAATGGTTGCATTTCCCCCCTTTTTTAACTAGGCTAAAAAGATGTAAATGTGTACTCCATGAAAAAAGATAGATCTATCTCCTTCATTTTTAAAGCTTTATCAGTGATATGAAATGTAATACTTACTTTAGCCTAAAGAATCAAAATCCATTTTGCAATATAAATATGCAATTACATTTAGTACCATTTCATTGAGCCTCACGCATCATTTTCAGTCATTTTTTTTATAAAAGGAATATGGAACATAACAGCTTTCTAGTTACCTGATCTTTCTAGAGATAGTAAGATTAATTAATATACAAATATTGACACAATTTCTAATATTCAAGACATTGTTTACATGACTGAGCCATTTTAAATACTTTGTTTTACAACAAGGTGAGTGATGCCAGGCAAGAATATCAGCTTCATCAAATGTTCATTCAAGTCACTGGTGGGACGACCAAAGAATATTTTTCAGGAACTGAGTTGTGGAGAGAACCGTGGCATTTACTACATCATACATTGGAAAATGTTGGATAATTCTATTAAGGCCAGTGCAAGTCTTAAGCGTTATCTTTTTAGCTTTCAAATGTCTAGTCAGCCTATAACAAAATAGACATGAACAGTAGCAAGAAAATACATTTCAGATATTCTAATGGATTAAAAACATCACCTTTTACTCTAAATTTCCTATTCTTTTTTCTTTATAAATGAAACTTTCTCTTTGGTTTCTTGTATCTTTTCAGTTATCCTCTCTTTTGTTTCTTCCATTTTCTCAGTTAATTTTTCTTTTGTTTCTTCCATTTTGCCACTAATCATGTCTCTTGTTTCCTCCATTTTTCCCGAGATTCGTTCTTTTGTTTCTTCCATTCGGTCTTGAATATATTCCTTCACTGGAGGTGGTGTGGACATATATCCATGCTTGCGAAGATACTTCACAGTGATGGATGTTCCTCCTAATGTCACTGTGTATCTGGCTGGAGTTGCAATCTTGCAAAAAAAAAAAAAAAGTGTATGTAAAACATATAAAAACATTAAGGACTCAAGTGACTTTAAATTCTATTGTCCAATAGCATTTACAGGCTTGGCTTTAGCTACAACTCTTTAAACACTTGTGCTAGTGAAGTTAAAGTACTGACATAACCCTAGCAAGGAAGCTTTCCAAACTATCCAAAGCATTCCCTAAAGAGGTATTGGTAGATCTATGCATTTTAATAAGTCATTCAGTCACTGTTCAGCTGCTCCCATCAGCAACACCTGCGCCTCCCAAAATTTATTCTGAAATGCAGAATGCATCACCTGCAAAATACTTTAGAGAACTGTTGAAGATGGAAGAGAAAGCTGAATTTAGTCTCATGATTTGTCTGAATTATTGTGTTGCTCTTAAAGCTTTGATAGTTGAGTTGTGCAGTTTCATTTGAATAAAGCTAAAAATAAAATATAGTCACTGAAAGACAATTACATTTTCTAAGGGGGTACTATGAAAATTTTCGCTAGCACAATAATTCCTAGAGACCAGTTGAAAGCTTTCAAAATATTTAAAGAAAGAAAATACTATCTCTGTATGAATTAAATAGGGCTTTTATGCAGTTTTTATTGTCTTTTTCAACTTTGTACTTTGTGTGCATTTCCATTTTTCTTCCTACCCAAATAGTTATTTTCAGTTTTTAGTTTTATGTAATGATATATTATGAGATATTAAATGAAAAGACATAAACAAATTTCTTGGTTTATAGTTTGGTGCTTTGTATTCATTTAAACACCTGCTCAATGCCTGTGCTTCGCTATGAAACTATGTGGTTGGGCTTAGTTTTGGGGGAGGAAAATAAGGAAAAAAAATTCTTCCTCTGCTTACCAGCATACATAGGTATTCATCTGGCTAGTGTCCTGTCAGTGTGTGAGAATTGAGGGCTGTTTGGAAGCTGAAACAGTATTTGCTGTGTGAGCAAGGAGACAGGAGCCTGGGCATGGCTTAGCTCAACTGTTCTGTACTAAAGTTGCTTGGTGCTGTAAAACTGAAACAGAAACTCCTCTCCTCTGCTTGTGTTTTGCATTTGGAACAGATTTCCTTTCAGGTGGGGAGGGGGAGTAGAACTCCTTAGCATCAGGGCATGTTAATAATAATATACAAAATACTAATGCTCTGATGGTCATTTTGAAAAATCCCTTCTTAGTGAGCACCTAGAAGCCAAGTGGAGCATATGTGCCAAATTTCAAGTTTGTAGGCTTTACGGTTCTGGAGATTTTGTGATGATGCATGAGTGGTATTTTGCTTTTATATACATAGATTCTACTTTAAAAAATAGTTTAAAAACCCCTTCTACTTTATTTAATAGTGTCTTATTGACAAGTTTTTAGCAAATATTTCAGCATGGATGGAAGAGATTAAGCTCAAAATATGTGGCATTAAGCAGAGAAAAAGAGATATGAGAAAAATAAAAAAGAATTTAGTGCACGTGTGTATTTAAAATCCTAAATGCTATTGAAACAAGAAAGTAATTATTTGTCATGCAATAAAGCAAAACTTTTGTCTTTAAAGTACTGAGATGCAGAAATAAAAAAATTAAAATTATGCTTTTTGTAAAAAACAACACACTATTTTCCAAAGTTGTCCTTTAAGGCTAAAAATCAGAACATCCATTTTAAACTATTATGAGATATATTTAAACCTAAAGTTTAGAGTATGTAAAGATTAACAATATTTTATGTCTGGGCATTTTTGTATTATTTTTAAGAGATAATTTTTAAATTATAAATAACTCCACAGAGCCAGCACTTTTAAAGTTGTCAAATGGCATTGGTAGTCATAAGCTCCCAGGCACATAAGCAAATTAAACAGTATTGCTTTGCAATGAATTTCCCCCTTTTGTATTTATAAAAGAAAGGTCAGGATGCATTGCAAAGCAATACTATTAACATTCCATTATTATTCCACCATGTGGCACTAATAAGAGTGCCAGGGTAGTAATGGAAACACTGATGGGAAAGCAAGCCTTTGTCGTGCCAAAGGCTAATAGAGGGAACTGCAAATGAGGTTCCTGGAGCAACTAATCTAATCTTACATCACTTGTTAAGGCCTTTGAATATTTGAAAAAAATAACTAAGTTTGTGACCAACTACATTTTGCAAAAAGTCATATTTTACTAAACAAGCGATATATTATAAAGGTTGTGAAATATAGAAAATTTAAATGGAACATTTCCCCATGACAATAAATGTTTTTTAGATAGTGATACACTATCCAAGAGCCACTCAGCGGGACTGCTGTAGAAGTGCACTTGGGCAAAGTGGTTTTCTAAGGTTGTCCTCGCCCTGACTTGCCAGCTTCACCCCAAATCTCCTCTAGAGGATCACAAGCAGGGAGGAAGAAGACAAATCTGATGAGCAGAATGATGCCACTGAATACAACCCAATGTCTTCTTGGTTTCTTAAACATGTGCCGTTCTTCATTACTAACCTTCTTCCTTTTTTATTCCTCCAGCCCTGTTTTTTTTTAAAACTTTCTTACAAACTGCTTTTTAAATGTTTGTATCCAACTAAATATTTTCCATCATAAACATCAAATTATGTAATTGGATTTAACATGTTTTCTTTCATCATCACATGGATCATTTATTTTATTAATGACAGCATTATTGTATCTATTCAGAGCCTTCATGACAGAATCTATTCCTCGGTAATTATGCACACACACAATTGCATACTTTGAATGCAAAATCCCAGAGGCTCACTCGTAATTCTGTAGGGATAGCATGAGGTTCATGGATTCAGTTTTCCTTAACCCACCTCTGTCCACAAATTCTAGCAATCTGCCACACATCAGAATGCCCCGAATTAAGGAGGTTTAATTACCGAATGTGATTCTTGGTGCTTTGCTCTCTGTTCGTCCTGCTAATATTAGTGGGGGGTGGGTGGGTGGGGGAGGGTAATGGTTTTCTCCTTGGCAATTCCTTGAGTAGGGTACTGTTTTCTGTTCGTTTGTCTGGTAGCTTTAAACTACCTCTTTTGAATGGTTTGTAAATGTGGTTTATCTCTATGTGTCTATTGATATCTGATTTGTTTAATGCCAAACTTCCGGGAATTTCCTAGTGTTTTTGAATTTAATTTTCTCTAAGATGCTCAATTTTCCAGTTGAAACTATGGTGAATCTGTCCATGTGTTGTGAGATTAAGGAGTTTTCATTGTGTCTTCTAACTGCTAGTTATGTTCATGGATACACACAAATCCCACATTTGCTAGTCAGATAATAAAACAACGGCAAGCAAACAATGAAGCTCAGAGAGCACCAAGGTCTTCGAAGTTCAACTCTGAGCTACGGATATTCTCTTCTATGGTAACTGTACATTCAAATATTCCTGTGAGTAGTGTTAAGAAACCCATAGATCGACTTACCTTATACAATGCATAGGCAGTTAATGCATTTCCACTTTGAGAATGCTTTAGGATGTTTACAATGCTTTCAGGCAACCCTAGGAATTCAAGAAATGGAACGACATTTACTCCCCTGTAAAATGAAGACATATTAAAATAAATTACATCATTCCTATGTTGGTAAAGTTTTTTGTAGAGTTATAGTAAAGAAGTATTTTTTACATTTGACAACAAATCACTCATTTTTTCCTCAACTGTCAATAGGTTATAAGAGGGAAAACACGAATTATATCACATACAGAAAATTTCCAGTTTTGAAATTTAATTTCAATATTCTAAAACTATGATTTACAACCTGTGTTCCATGCCCTAGGGATCTGGGAAGGTGCTTTACATGATCTACTATACAGATTCCAAATTAAGTTTGTATGTATATCTGTGTATGTATATAGAATTATAAACATATCTAAATAGCGAAAATATCACCAGATTGTCAATTTGATACTTCAGGTGGGAAAACAAGCAACTTGGAAGATGTAATGATTTTGTATGGCTCTGCTTATTTCTCCCCTAAATTATGAATCTTAAAAGTACCAAATGGAAGGGAACAAGCATAACATAGTATCTGCAGGGGCCAGATTGATGATCTTTGACTAATATAGTGGTCTTCAAAACTGATGATGATTAAAATGTTAGGAATCACCTCTCTAGGCTATTCAGATATAACTGATCAAAGTCTTAGAGTTATTTCACTATTGTCTTTATTGTGGTAATTCAAGATGAATGAAAGTATTAGTCCTCAGAGCAGACTATATGATTCGCATTAAAATAATTTGGGAATGTTTGCCTAAACCATAAAACCATAAAAGCTAACTTGGTAGATAATGCCAAGTTTAAAAAAATCAAAATTCTATCCGTATATATCAACTTCTTGTCTAAACAAGCTCCACAATGACTTAATATGTCTTAAGAGAAAAATATGGTCAGGTTCTTCTGAAAACATGAATTAAACATTATTCTGAACATGCAGTTTCCATTAAATTAAAATTGAGTATCAAATGTCAAGTTTGGTCCATTTGTACCAATGAACTTCGGCTGATTTCAAACAATACTTAACCCGTTCCTTGGAGAGTTATTGCTGGAAACTTTACTGAATATAACTCACAATATGAAAAAGTGAAGTGTCACAACCCTATATGTTTCTCTGAGAAGAAATTCAATTATGTTCTTAAGGCTTGATTAAAAGACTCTTGACTGGAAAATGGGCAACTTCTGAAACCCAACTACTGTGTGATGGGGTGAACTGCCCCAGCTCCTGTCAACCTAGCAGTCTGAAAGCATGCAAATGCAAGTAGATAGATATCACTTTGGTGGGAAGGTAACAGCATTCTGTGTGCTTTGGCGTATAGATATGCCAGCCACATGGCCACAGAAGTATCTTCGGACAATGCTGGCTTCCTTGGATAGGACACAGCTGGACAGGGGAAACCTTGACCTTTTAATAACTGTGCTTTTCTTTGTAGCTCATCTTTACGAATTCTATCACTTTTGATTGTAAGAAAGTTTATAAGGTCTTGAAACCAGATTTGTTAGGATAGAAACTTAACTGCTGATCTCTTCGGAAATGGGTAATCATTTACTCCTAAATAACAGTAAATAAACGGCCAATGAGCCAATTACTGGCAATGCTGAAGTGAAGATTTATTCATTTTAAGTAGGTTACAATTTGTGGCCTCCCAGAAGAGGTAGAACAATGATAATTAGTGAGCAGAAGGACAAGTGTCGCTGGCATCAGAAGGTATTATAACTGTTTTAGCTATTCTAACCAGATGGCATTAAGTGCCCTTTCTAAAAGCAATGGGTCTAAATGTCATTCTAAATTTATCCCTTCTCAGGGTAATAAATATCCAAGCTACTTAAAATTTTGTTTCCAGATACATATTTATCTTCAGGTATTCAGAAAAAACAAATAGCTGGTTTTATTAGATATTACAGATATTAATTACATTTACTTCTTGATCACGTAGCTTGACACAGTTTTAAACAAATGTAGGGATCTAAATTGGGAAGCTAGAATATTAACGTTTGGGATGACTTGTTTTCAACAAGACATCATATTTTAAATCTACAAAGGAATTCAAATATATTTAGGATCCTTCTTGAAGAACTACTGAATTCATACAGTACAGAGCCTTTAAAACTCATTTGAAGTGCTAGTCTATTCATATGTACGTAAGATTAATTCCACTGAACTTTGTCACACTTTTGTGTATATGGCAGGGGTTCCAATATTGTAACTTAAGCCAGAGATATTTTAAATATTCACTAGTAAGGTTTAGAGCATGTATGCAAGCATGAAGCAGAATTACTGAGCAGAGGTCCTATATTATACATTCACAGCCCATATTATACATTCACATATATTTTCTTAAGTACTAATTAAACCTGTACTACTTATTCTAGCTTCATCATTAGCATCTTTACATGTTACACAATATAAGAAACCATTCACCTTTTGAAATAAAGTTAGGATTAAATAGAAAATAAAACATCAGAACTGCTATAAACACAATAACAACTTCCTATTTTATATATAGACTCCCTCACACTACTATTTTTTCATAAGATGACATCTTATTGTCTTATTTTTACAGGTAGCTTTCAATTTATGCTTACAATTGAGCCACAATTTCTGTTGCTAAGCAAGATGGTTTTCAGTGAGTTTTGCCCCATTTTACAACCTCTCTTGCCTCAGTTGTTCAGTGAATCACTGCAGTTAAGTTAGTAACACAGTCATTAAGTGAATCTGGCTTCCCCATTGACTTTCTTGGTCAGAAGGTTGTAAGAGGTGATCACATGACCCCAGGACACTGCAACCGTCATAAATACATGCCAGTTGCCAAGCATCTGAATTTTGATCATGTAACCACAGAGATGCAACGGGTGTCGTAAGTCATTTTTGTAGTTATTGCTTCAAACTGTCACTAAACTAATGGTTCTAAGTCAAAAACTACCTGTAATGCAAACATCTTATCAGTTTTAAAAACATTATGTTTTATTGCACAAAGCAAATCAATACATAAATGTTGACTTTGTAATTTTATTTTGAAAAGTAATGGAGCTAATGATTTTTTAAAAATGCTGTTTTTTCTTAAGTGGTAGGCCAGGAACTAAATTTGGAGCTAATGATTTTTTTAAAATGCTGTTTTTTCTTAATTGGTAGGCCAGGAACTAAATTTGGAGCTTTCTAAAACCTAACAGAAGTTGCTGGCATGTGAACACATGGAAATAAATGAAGGATGGCCTCTAACACAAATTTTCTTCACTACTCACAAATTCCACTTTCCACTAATCATAAAGTGGCACAGAACAAGAGTGAGGGAAAGAGACCTCCAACAGAAAAAAAACATGTAATTTGATAGATTTAGGTAAGAAAATCAGTGCGATTTTGCAGAATTGTATTAAAATTCCCACTGAGTTCAAGGGGATTATTATTAGTATACACTTACAACTTTAGTTAATCTATTAAAATCAATTTTATTTTAGAGTTTGCATAGGCACTTTATGTGCATTTGGGCTTCCTACTCAGAAAAGTTACAACTCCTTTCACTGTTTCATTACTTCTCTTGTACATCTAAGTTTTCTCATACAAAAATCAAGTATTTTCATAGAAATTGTTCAGGTATGATCAGAGATTCTTGATAATGTTTTAAGATTTTTTTCTAATTTCAAATATGATAAGCTCCAGGCTCTTTAATTCTACTCTTCTTGAGGATAGCTAAGGCTTTCAATAAGCAAAACAGTGTTTGTTAAATTCTCAGTCTTTAAACTATCCTGTGCTCCATCCTTCACTGAATGCATGGCCAATTAAGATAATACACAATGTTATTTTCAAATGAAATCCAAGGTAGCACTGGCTCTTCCCTTTCTTCAGGTCCATCCTCCCCAAATTTATGTACATTTTTTTTTAAAAAGTACACTATCATTGGTGTTCTGCATATATAATAGCTCTGCACTTACTTTAAAGCTGCATAGTAAAAAGTTCCAAACCATATGCTGGAGGTCAAAAGGTGCACAGGAATCAGAACTTTGCCATACTGTTTAAAAGTTTTCTTGAATCTTTGCACAAGGCTAATGGATTTATCTTGTAAAGGGTCAAGTTCTTCAGAATTGGGCTGTATAGGTATTTCCTTGGCAAAATTACCAGCCGACGTGGTAAGATTTTCTCCCTTTGGTTCTTTATTTTGAGGGTCTTCAGGTTGGGAAGATGTCTTGCCCATCAAGCCCCCTTCTTTGGAAACCCCAAAAGGAGCGGACATATGCAGATGTTGACTTTGGCAGCTTAGCACCAGGGACATCTTTTCCTGCCTTATTGGATGTAAGGATGTTTTCCCTTTGATGTATGGAAAGATACAGGAGCGATAGGATAGCAAACATGTCCTAAATGCCAGCTGGAACGGTTTCTGCATTTTGGTCGATTGTGGCAGCATTGTGCTGATAGTTTTGTGTACAGCTCCTAAGAAATATTAAGAGTTGGATTGTTACATTAACAGGCATGATATTCCCCTCTGAAAAAAAAATCGGGGCCGGCCAAAAGAGACCCCCCCACCGCCCG